TTTTTTTTTTTACTGTCAAAGAAACAGCGATCGGAATTATCCCGATTTCACCGATACCACGCGGTCGGAAGGCCGCGAGTGCCCGCGAGGCCGTGTTTACGCTACCTAATTTATGTTTGTGGTCTCGAACTTCCACCTGAGGGTTAAGTTCAAAACCCACTACGCCACAGCAGTCAGTAATACATGTAAGTGTCTGCAAAGTGACCATAGATTACCTTACCTGTCGTAACCAACAAGCTGGCACATCCATGAGTGGATGAGTTCATAGGTCAAAGATCACCAAGCGACCTTTACCTAGTACTTATGTTTATTTGGATGTAATATATGTATATTTAGTTCTTCTACTTGCACGTTGAAATGTATGTTGATTATCGGACTAAACAAATATGTGAATTCTCTAAAGCCTGTTGCAATATCCAATGCCCAAGTGTCTCGAGCAGTGGGCAAGTCATACAGGCATCTCTATTTGATTTTGTAGAAATGGCTTTTGTGTCTACGTTGTTTATCTAAAATTGAAATCTAAAAAAAAAAAGCTCTTTAAAAAGAACTTACAACCTTAACATGTATGTCTATTGAAGTTTGATGGCAGAGATAATATGCATTTATGAGGCAGCGAAGTGAAATCAGGTGCTTGTCAAAATAATGAAATTGAAGAAACTGGATTATTCCAGCCAGTTTGGCTATGTTTATCAATTTTTCTTTTTTTGGCTCAACGTCTTTTATGTCCATTCAAGAACACATTTCTGTGGATTTTACTGAAAAACATTGATTAAAGGCACAAAAAATGTAAGTTCTCAGTTACCCCGGCTGTCAAGCTACTGAAATAACCAAGTGTGGCGGCCATTTTCTCGTTAATTTAACCTCTGAAACAAGGCGATGTCCACCTCCTCCAATTGCGGATATCTCGACTTTTATTCAAGGTAAATGGGTATTTATTTCATTGAAGGCAAGACAAATGAACAAATTTTATGATGATACTAATAACTCCACATGCCCAAAAATTGACAAGTGCCTGATTCCACCACATCGTGACACACTTTATTTTCACCTCCTCAGATCTGCCTTTCTGCCAAGTGACACCTCATTTGTGCAGAGCCAATGAGATTTGCAGCAACAACTGGCCTAATAATTATGAAGAGAACCTCTGCTATCGTAAGAAAACATTGCAGAAACTTTTGTGAGATGGAATCCTAAAAAGTTTTCTTTGCATGTAGATTGAAAATCACTATATGTAGAATATTGACCAACCCTCCCCCCCCCCCAAGAAAAATAAAACAAAACAAAAACAAACAAACTAACAAACCCTGTCATAATCAGTCAAAAAAAATGTTTCAGCTAAGACAGATTTTATTTCTGACTGAATATATCAATCAGTCATTCAACATATGTAGCAATATAAAGCTGTGATGTTGTCTGAGGGATATCTTGTCCATATTACCAACTGACTGTGGCTGAGGAGGTAGATTTACGTGATGGACTGTGCTTGGCATGATGACAGATAGATAAACAATGGTGTGTAGGAATGTAGGATGTGAAGATCTAGATGATTCCCTGTAGTTATGAGATTTCCTTTTGATATTTGTTGAAAGACAAAGCAAAGGGTTTGTTTGTTGTTAACCTGCATCCTATCTGTCTTTTCTAACCCCCCCCCCCCCTCACCTTAGTATTTTCCCCTCATCTCGATTCCCAGCCCCTGATTCCCAGCCCCTGAATGGTTGTCTTCCTCTATCCTTCTCCCTCATCGCCTCTCCTGCACTCTTCTCTCTTCCACTCCAGTACTCTTTTCTTTTCTTTCTATCCTTCCTGTCTCCCACTTCCAAATTTGCCCTTCCCTCTCTCTTCCTCCTTTCCCTCCTTTTCTTTTTTTCCTCTACCAACACTAATCTTCCACCTCCATCTCCCAACAATTTTTTTGCATGCTGCACCATACTGGACCGTCCTGATGTCTTGGTTGGCTTTTACAGAAAAGTGTAAGTTGTTCGTTTCAATTATTGTTTGTGTGTAACTTATTCTTTTTTTTCTTTGTTTGTTCTAAATTATTAACTGTTTATTTGCTACAAAAATTGTTGTTCTTGTCATAGCTATTGCTATGTAAATTCAATGTTTCCACCACAGTGTGGTGGTAGTCATAAGGCAGCAGTACAACAGCAGGTGGAGGAGTTGTGGTGGTGGTCACAGTGATAGTAATGATGAAGTATTGTGTTCTTTTCTTTTTTTAAAAATTCCTTCTCTTCCTGTCTGCTAGTATTAATCCTCTTTTTTTGTCTTCCAGTTGCTTTCTTTTTAATATTCTTCCTTTTCTTCCACCTCATCCTCTTCCTCCTCCTCCACTACCTCCTCTGCCACCTTTTTCATTAGCAGAATGCTCTACTCCACAGACTTTCTGAGATATGACATTGCCAAGGCGTACAACTCCAGTGATGATGAAGAGATTAAGGGAGCTGTCATGATGCATTTGCAACAATTTGTTGCTTTCCCTGCAGTTGGTGATGTGTTTGTTGAGGCTAACCTGTAAGGCATTATCTTTTGCATTGTTTCTTTCTATCTGTTCATGTATCTGTCTGTCCATGTGTCTACCTGTCAGTTGTATTTTTTTTTTTTTTTTTACTGTCTATAATTTGTCTTCTGTCCATTTTAATGTAAGTTCGTTGGAATTGTTTGATATAAATTAAGTCATGCGGAATCTGACAACTTGATTTGTGTACACATTTTTATGATGTGTTGTACTGTATGTGCAGGGGATGGAGGGGGAAAGCTGGAAGTACTTTAGTGTTGAAGCAAATCCAGTCAATAACTTGATGTGGCTTTGGTCTGTCACCACATCATCATAATGTGTCACTTGGGGGGGGGGGGGGGGGGGGGGGGGGGAAACCGGAAATTTTTTTTTTTTTGAAGAAAAACCCGCAAAAAACCTGGTGGGGTTTGGGTCCCCCCCCCCCCCCAAAAAATTTTTTTTTTGGGGGGGGGGGGGGGGGGGGGCGGGGGGCAAGACTTGTGACAGGAACAAACAATAACATGATAGAGTGAAAAGTAGAAACTGGACTCAGGTCTACCGCATATCTGACTGTGCTTCTTTTCTGATTCTGGTAATTTTTTATAACTAAACAAATAGGAGTAAAGCACACAGAGCATACTGTAGACTCCTTAGAGCATGCATATGCCTGCATGTAAATGCAAGTATTATTCTTGCCCCTACATCTCAAATTTTGTCCTGTCAACATCCATGACACTAAAAATACAATACAAAGGCAAATTAAGATGAGGAGAAAAAAAGCTCTTTAAAATAAAAAAAAGGGGGCAATAATTGATAAATCAATAGATATTAATCTATGGTAGATGGTAACAAAGACTTTTGATATGTAGCTTCATAAAAACGATCCCATTTGTTAATCATTAATTTCAGTTAAACTTGATCCCTGTCAATGACAAGATTGCGCGTTAACTGACAATCATGTTATTATAGTCTGGGCCACAGTACTTTGCTGCAGTATGGATAGGGAATTGTCCCAGGCGATGATTGCCGAAGGGATGGCAATTTCAGCAAGAGCCTCTGCTGCCTCTTAATGCATCTGCTTGGTTTGTCTTCTGTCCCCAGGTTTGGTGAAACAATGGCGGTTGTCAATGTCTCTGACACATCCATGATGGGTTCATCTATTCTTACCAACCTGGAAGATTACATTGTGCACAATTTCTACCAAAATAATGAGACTCTACACATCCAAAATGCTTTCTATGATGTGAGTTCTGTGAAACTGTTTGACGATGAGGACAAAGCCAGTGACGACTCCTATGCTTTGGGTATGATACATCTACGACTTGTTGATTTTTGGGGTATTAAAATTTGTTTAGTCCATTGTCCTGATACTACTTCCTACAGCCATACACATGTTGCATCCACACACTGACAAGTACGCACATGCATTGATCTTTGTCTTCTTTTCCCACAAAAATATTGGTACTTTTCACAGGGCTTCCTATTTCTACCGATATTTAAAAAAACAACAACTCCAAAACAACTGGATATATGCTTTTGTGTGTCCCGAGAGGGCAGAGTGTCTTTCATTTTACCTCTTTTTACACTTCAGCTAGTGCCACTCATAACTTTGCTGAACGTTCAATACCAAATTTCACAGTCAAATATAAAACGGCAGAGCTGGGTTTGTGGAGGCTACTTGAACCAAAACTGGTTAATCTGAAAATAACGATAATCCAAATAAAGACAAAATCTTTATTTTTTTTCTTTGTTTTTGAAAATATATTTCTAAGGAAAGTGATCTTAGAAATGCTGAGGCAAACCAGAAGCAATGCACTAAGGAATTGTTCAAGAAATGCCGCAGTCTCATTTTACCTGATGTGATTCCATGACTGAAATTTCTTTACTCATTTTTGTGAGGTATTTTACCTTCAACTAGATTTCAAGTTCTCTTGCATTCACTCTTGAAAATATTCGAGGATGCATGCGTCTATACATACTCGGTATATGCAAAAGAGTGGATTTCTACTAACAGTCCTGTCTGCAGCTTGTACATAAAAAATTTTTTTGGGTGATCCTGACTCTACATTCTGTGGTGATGTTTTTAAAATATATCTATCTACTTCTGCTACACTGTGTCAATGTCTTTTTCTTCTGTGTGTGTCATATATTTGCAACCTAATGTTATTATGAATTTTGTGTTCTTTTCCCACCACCGCCCCTCTTCCCCTCACCCCCCCCCCCCCCCCCCCCCCCCCCCCCACCAATCCCTGCTCTGTTGAAACTCCACTTATATTCCTTCAGTGCTGTCCCAGTACTGCTTGAGGTATAGACCCTGTGGGTATTCTGACCAGTTTGTCTGTGTACCTGAGACGTTTGGGTATACTTGTGCAGGTGAGTCATGCATGCTCTATTAATTATCTCATAAAGCAGGAAACACAGTTTTCGCTGCACCCTGCACTACTTGCTCATGCACAGCTCATAAGAGCACTTTCTTTAACTCTTTTATGACCAAGATGGTTTTTCAGTTTGACCGCAAGGTTTTTCTGAGCACTAAAATTTAGCAGCCGGGTGGGATGGAAAAAGTAGCATACGTCCTCTATTATAAGAGCTAGAATAGAGTTTGTGGTATGCATTTGTTCAGAAATGAATTTTGCATTATATTTATGAGAAAGAAGTGTTGTTTTCTAACAATGAAAAACGTAATAGACAAAATGATACACTTCAAAAAAAAAATAAATTACGTAACAATTTATACACTCACCTGGGCATAACAGGTCTACTTTGGGAAATGTATCCAAATTCCAAGAAGAAAAGTTGTCCATAATTACTCCAAGAATAAGAACATCATAAATAAAACTCAATATAAGGGTTACTTGAGGTATTATACTGAAAAATCCATAGAGCATCCAGTATCCAAAAACAGCCAAAATGAGGAGGAACAAATCTAGAAAAGTCCACTGTACATGGTACACCATGAAAATTACACCAAACAACACATTACCGATGTCTGGTTGTGTGGTATTCATTAAAAAAAGTGTCAGAATTTAGGTGGGGGAGATCAGTGCAGCCAGTACAGACGAAAGATGTGCACTGCCTCTTTTCAGGGGTGCTGCAGTAGACGCAATTTCGATCTTTGCCAGAATGCTTGATCAGGTGCATGTCACTTTGGTTGGATCTTTGTTGTTTTGAAACAATGCTGGCCTGAAGTTGATCGATCAGCATGTCTTTGAATTCACAAAACCCATTTACGAGGTTGGTCAGGGTGGGGCAGGGTGTACAGGATATGGGCGTTGAATTGTGTGATCTCCAGCATCCAAAAAAAACTTTCCTCCACCACTTCTTTGATCTCCTAGTGAAAGGCACATAGTACCCTATGTTCTGGTCTGCTTTGTCACAGCCATTCTTTGCATGGTTGTAAGTGACAACCATAGCTGGCTTCAACGAGCCTTCTCCTCGTGAGGGAATGGTGGACATCTCAGCAGACGAATTTTTGGAAATGACGACGCAGGATTTCTTGGCCTTTTTATCTCGCCAAGCCACACAGAAAATCTCGTCTCCCTCGGAGGTGAACCACTGGGCCTCTCTGTGCTGGAGTTTTAGTTGTTTCAACTCTTGAGGAGAGCGTACACAGTTGATTTGGAGTTTGCCAGTGACAAATTTTTCCCTCAGGCAGTAGATAGTTGACGACGGAGAGGGACGTATAGTTCTGATCGGCAAAAAGCATGTGGCCTTTGCAGGTGTCTTCCAGCAGGGTTTGAAACACCTTCTTTGATTGCTGGCCATCAGAGTCGCACTCTAGGCTGTAGGAAGTGTCTTTGCCATAATACAGCATGAGGTTGTAAACATAATCAGTGACGCTGTCACACAGGCCAAAGCGTTTGATGTGATATTTGTGAGGCTTGGCCTGGTTGTATTGTTTATGAGCAAATCTGCCCTTGGACCCGATGATCATCTCATCAATGCTGAGGTCTTGGAACGGATAAAAAGCCGTTTGAAATTTTTCTATCAGTTTTTTAATAAATGTTCAGTCTTCTCTTTACTCTGAGCACCAGCTGCACCTGCGTGGAGCATTGCGTGATAAAGTGTGAGAAACTGGTCACGACAGGGAAAAATCTGGAGGAACCACGGTGTGTACCAGTATGATGGTGTTTTCTTGAAATAATCCCTCTTGTCTATACCCACAACAATCATTATCAACAGGAATCTGAGAAATTCTTCTCGATGGATGGGCGCCCAGTTAATGTATACACTGCGCCGTCGAGGAGGATTGTTCAGTTGACCCTTCAGACGCGCATAGTAATTGATAGATGTAAGCAAACTATCTACAACTTCATCATCTAGAAGTTGTTGGAGGCAGTCCACAGCAGATGAGGTTTCATCAAGGTTAGCTTTTACTCCAGGAGTGCAGGGAGGCGTAAACGTCGCCAGTCCCCTGTTGTTTGCTGCTGTGAATCTACTGGAACATCGTCTGCAGAAGTGTCCTGTGTAGGAGCTCTTGCTCTTGAACTAGACCTTTTGGTAGCCTTTTTTTACCCATAGAACCTGAGTAAAACCTTGAGTTATTACATCTTGAAGGGCCTGCAGTTGCGGCGAAGGGAGGGGGGAGTAAAGGCCTCTCATCATCACTCCCTGACTCAGAGCTAAAGTTGTCCTCGCTATTATCTAATTCAGAATCAGAATGTTCTAAATTCTGAGTAAATAAGTCCATAGCCTGCAGTGCAGTAAGTCTACATGGCCTACCCAAAGACTTCATCGTGAACGATATACACAGAAATCAGCTAATCAGTGAAAATGAAAACAGCACACCAAATAAATAGACTTCGCGCCTTCAAAGTGACACCAAATAAAAATAAGCCGGAAGTTTTGGTTAAAATAAACCCAGTTTACAGCATCAGATGCTGAAAGTAAGACCAATATTTGCTAAATAAAGACATGTTGCAATGGAATAGAAGGGACATGTAGCGAGCCAACTGACTCAGCGCACCGGTCATTTCTAGTCGACTCCATGCCGACTCATTCGGCTCGTCGGTCATGAAGAGTTAAAGAACCTTTGTCAATATAATAATAATAATAATTTTAATTGTAAATGAATCTTGTATGCTCTTGCATTGGGCAACAAAGTGATTGGTATGAACTTTCATGAAAAATGTGAAATTAACCTGAGATTAAGGTTCTTTGTGATGTGGACTATTTTGGAGGCATGCATCTAGGCCTCTTTGAATACACTTTTGGGGTTGATAGGAAAAGAAATGTTTCATTTGTTAATTTAATGCAGTGATCTCTGGCAAATAGCACACACTGTGAGAGACAAGAGAAGCGTACTCTTATGCCAAAGTGCAATTATTTTTAAAGGAGAGTAATAAAGAAAAAGTATTCTGATCTCCCGCTGTACATTGAATCATTGAGCTGATCTCTCTCTGGGGTGTGAAGTTTTCCTATGCTGAGCTATCACAGAAAACAACCTTTTTAATAGTTGCACAGCCCTTAACCAACACTGTCAAAGTCGCTTCAGGGCTCATTAACCTCGTGACCCCAAGTTGAGGAGCTCCAATTGGCTGCTGAGTCATGCTAACTAAAAGTAACAGGATCGGGCGAAACGTGACGCTGTGTTCCACATTGAGCAATTCTGTTTCACACCTTTGGTGTTAGCTTTGCTCCCATCAATTTCAAGCAAAATTTTATTTCTGATCTGCTTCTGACATTAGCACAGGAATGATTGTGCTGTTAGATAAAATTTTCGATTTGGAGCATGCACTTACATTAGTCTGGTTCTGCACTGCCAGTATGATTAAAGGGGATCGTGCTTCTATCGATCGCAGTATTAGCTGGAGGCCACTGTATTACCAAATTTTACCGAATATTTGAAAGTTCCTCGTTGAAAAGACTGGCATCTGAGGTGTAATAGTCAGGCTTTTTGCCATTGCATGCTAAAGAATCAAGCTCGATTCTCGTGTGGGAAAAATGTTTATTATCTTGGTCTTTCGGCAGGGACGTCGCATCCCTCTCAGCATGGGTTGGTCTTGACAGAAAGGGTTGAAGCCTGCCTCCTAAAAATGACCTAAATTGTGTCAAAGGAGGCATAAAAAACACCTGCATCTAATCTTCTTGAACAGATGTACTTTGTGATGTTAAATCGCAGACCTCAGAAACCTCTAAACGAGTAAAAGAAGTATAATTTCAACACAGATTTTAAACTTGAAGTCTTACGTAGAACCATTTTATCTTTTTTCTAACCTACCTGACTTACTGGTGGTGGCTTCTGATATTTGTACTCAGATGCCACATATAATGTGGGAAAAGAAGACATTTAATGTATCAGTATTTAAAAAATTAAATCCATCCTCATAAGTATGAAAAGTTGTATCAGAGAAGAACAGAATGGACCAAAAAAAGTTGATAAAGAAAACCTTTTTCCTATTGTTTTAGTAAAGACATACTTGGTAAAATGAACTGATATCCAAGATTTAAAAATTACTGAAAAGATTTGCATTATGTACTTTTACAGCAGGTGTTGAAGAAGAGAATAGAACATGTATAAGTTTGAATACTTCAATCTCTCTCCACTTACACCCGTACTTAAATACAAACACACACGCAAATGTGCAGACACACACATATAAACACACACACACACACACAAACACATACACACACACACACACACACACACACACACACACACACACACACACACACACCACACACACACACACACACTCTCTCTCTCTCTCACACACACACACACACACACACACACACACATGTGTCTGCCTGTCCATTTGTCTCTATCAAATATGGGCACAGACTCTCTTGCCATTTTCTCTCTCTCTCTCGCTTTCTCTGTCTGTCTTAATCTCTCTCTGTCACACACATACAAAAGCCACAAAGAGAGCAGATGGTTTAGCTTACTGTTTTCACCCCCAGAATCCTGTTCTTATGGCTACTACAGCTCCAACAGGCAATGTGTCCAGTGTGCCACAGGGACGACAACTCTTTTGAAAGGAGCCACTTCAGCTGATCAGTGTGTCTGTGAGTTGCCTCTCTTCCATACCACTGAGTCCTGAGTTTTTTAGGAGTTCCACTACTGTTTCATGATTAGTCAGTTATGCTGTCTACAGTCCGTTTCCACCCATATGACACTAGATATTGATATACTCATGACAGCAGTTTGAAATTATATAATTGAACTTGTTAGATTTTGACGTTGAAAACCAAAAAGCTTGTTTGTACCTCTCTTTGGGATTTGTTAGTTAACGATCTGCACCCAACTTGGCTCGTCACTATCATCATCAGCAGAGGAAATACTGTCTTTATGGAGCTAAAGTTCTGGACCACAGATTTGCCTCCTGCAAATAAAATTCCTCTTTGTTCAGCCAAGCTATTTGTACTGAAGCCCAATGAGTATTTGAGTTGTTGTTATCGATCCAGATGAGTTTTTGAGAGGTGGCTGTTTCCTCTCTCCTACTCTATGGCTTAAAAAAATGAAACTTGATACAATGCGAAGCATCATAGTGAAATCAGGCGCTATTCAAAATAATGAAATTTAACTCATTCCACGCGAAGCAACGCTGTTATCGCTGTAACCGTGGAGGAACGACTCAGTCGTCATTTCTCATATGGTTTTATTAAACGGTTCCTACAGCTATTTTTGGCAATGTTTTGCGACTTCCGAATGTATTTGTGTCAAGACCGGAAGCTTCACTGCTGGTTTCATTTATTAGTCAGCTTTTTAAAGAGAATTTTGCGTGGTTTCTTTAGTCTGAAGTGCCGATCAAAATAAAGCAAACCCGTTTGTTTATAATGGCAGCAATGGCTTGGGGCAACGGTTCACACAATACGAAAGCCGTGTAAAGCTTTTTGCTGGTCGACTTAACTAATATTAGCTTTTTTAAAATTATGATTACATTGTCAGCCACCCTGACTTAGACTTCAATAGTAGTTTCCAGCTGGTGGGAACAGCAGAGACGATACTGACAACGGGGATGAAACTGACCAGATTTTGAGTGGGCGTCGTACTCTATCAGGGGTAGTAGGTGAATCATCCATTAATAGTTATAACCTGCACACAAAGTCTAGATCTAGTACTAGCAATGTCAACAAAGCTGGTACAACTGCTAGTACTAGATTTATTATAAGGATATAATTAGGGGATAATTGCAGGTGTAGGTCTACTGTCCGTAGAGATCTGGGTTGTGGCTGATTAGCATTTCGTGTATTTCAATTACTCCAAATTATTGAATAAGATCTGTGCTGGAATACCAACGTATGCGATATTATTACAAAGGCGATTTACATAGAAACATTTCTATTGATTATTAGTCTGTATTTCATGGGTAATGGTTACAGCAAGTTGAATAAAACTGATCAAACTAGCCAATTTAATTATTTTTCAGTTATTATCCCCCCTGTATTACATAATTGCTCTTGCGTTATAACACAAAGAACCATGCAACCCATCCTTTGGGATAGCTTATTCAATTACCTTTCCAGTAGTATCAGATATATGTACTTTCATTGAAAAAATAGGGCAAAGAATCAATTTGAACAAGGTACCCTATTGTAATAGGCGCTCCTGAGAAAATAAATTCTGGCGTTTTGGGAGGGTCAGTGAAAATAAATTCTGGGCGCAAAGAATTAAGAAACAGGATTTTTTTTCAACTTTTTGGGACAATTTTTTTTCAAGTTTTAAATCTCAACACCATTTAAGTCCTTTAAAAACTCATTTCTTTGTGGTTTTTATTGAAAATGAGTGATCAAAGGCATAAAAATTGTAAATTTGCAATTTTCAAGGACGCTCAAGCTTTGGGAGTCACCGAACTTTGGTGGTCATTTTCTCGCTATTTTTACCTGTGAAACCAGGTGACCTTTAATTACAAATATCTTGACCTTTATTTAAAATGGATGGGTATTTTTTTTCATCAGAAGCATGGTAAATGAACAAGCTTTAAGATGATACTAATAACTCCAAGTGCCCCAAAATTTGACAAGTGCCTGATTCACAGCGTCGTGCACCAATGTAGATTTTTCAATGGGAGTTGCACAATAGATCCATTGTCTTGTTGTGCTGGGGAGGGGGTTGAGTTGGAAAGGGGGCTTGTCAAGCTCAGATTTTGCACTCTTTGCCTTGGCTTGGTTGTCGTCATGTTTTACTGCTTCCCATCCCTTGCAAGCTATTGAATTACCTTCATGTTAAATTACTATTAGCTTCTGATTGTCCTTTTGGTGTTATACATCCTGGACTAGCTACCACTCCTCTCTCCCTCTTCACTTCCAAAAGATTCTGAATAATAATTGATAAGAAAATAGATGAATAAATGAAAATGTAAACAAACAAATAAGTCAGCTAATTATACTCCATTTATTCCTCATAAGGTGATCCTCGCCTTAGACAGGTGCTGGGGAAGAAATCCCCAAAGCTGCAGTAATAAAGCTACCACAGTGACAGATTTACTTTTGTGATGATCGCTGTTCATTATCACTGGACAATCTGAAAAGACTTGGTCCATTTAGTCCATCTCTCCAATACATCCTACCCTACATTACCCACCACTCTATATTTTTGTTTGTTATTCTCCCCATTCCCATTTGCATGGAGCCTGTCACAGGATGGGCAAAAGATGTAGGCTATCTTTCTTTTGTTTGACTTGTTTTTTTTTCCCACATTCTGATAAGGATTAGCAAATAAATCTGATAAGGATTAGCAAATAAACTTAATTAGCCAGAATATATGGAAATGACTAAATAAAAAAGTGAGGCATGGTGATGGAATCTGTATTTTTCCACAGGTTTGTCAATTTTTATCAAATTTTTGTTTTTTGGCTCATCTCCTTTTATGTCCACTGTAAAACACATTTCTGTGAGGATTTTTCCGAAAAATGTTGATAAGAGGCACAATATAAAAAATGTAAACTTGCAGTTTCCAAGGGCTCTCAAAGTAAAGAAGTCGCCAGATTTTGACGGACTCTTTCTCTCTAATTTTGCCACTGAAACCAGGTGTTCCCCCAACTCCTTCAATGAAAAAGCAAAGCAATTCACATGCTCAAAAGATAACGAGCGCCTGATTCCACCACATCGTGACACAACTGAAATGTTTTACTTTCAGTGGACTGCCAAGATGGCGAGGATTTCCGTCTTCAGAGCCAGATGTGTCAAGCTTGTCCAAGTCAGCAGTACAAAGGTCCAGGACAGAGCCGCTGCTCTGTGTGTCCATATCAAGGTGGAACAGACACCACCTGTGCTCCAGGACCGCGTGAGTACACTAGCAATCTCTGCCTGCTTTGTACAGACACTAATCAACTCTGAAGCCTAAAAAGCACAGAAACAGCATCCTTTGTTTGAATTTATAAGTAAAGAGTGTACTGGAAAGATATCTGTTCTCCAACAACATCTTTGTTTCTTCTCTGTGTTATTTTGTTCCTTCTGAGTTCCAGTATTAAAGGACCAATTGTGTGTGAATCGACAATTTTAGTCTGATCCGATGAGTCCAGTAGTATAAGTCACTTTATTATGTGGTATACTGTTCTTCGGGCTGTCAAGATTTTTATTATTGAATAGATACAAGCCATCATGGTGCAGCTTCAGAGAAAGATCAGATTTTCTATCAAATTCACTTTACATAATGAGGAACGTCTGCTGACACTTTTTACCTATAATTTTTTTGAGGATGATATAGAAGAGCTGTCGCAAAGAAAGAACTTAAGACAGCTGGAGTAACAATTCAGGGGCCTGAGAAGTCCCATAGGCACTAGATTATTACATAATTATCATTGTTCTGACATCTCATTATTATTATCATTATTATATTTCTCTCCCCTCCACCCCCCCCCCTCCCTGATATATTCTTGGGTCTGTTTACTTTGGTTTCATCTCCCCACCATCCCTCCTATCCTGTGCCTCGTATATGACTGTTTTGGACAGTGAGAGAGGTGGTCAATGGTCGAGTGGACATCTCGGTGAAGCTGGAGCTTACTTCATTATCCTGTGAGATCCAAGACACAACCCAATACAGCCGAGACAAAGCTTTGACCTCGCTGATCAGATATTTATTCCTGGGCAGTGTCTACTCCACAGCAAGTTACGGCGCCCCTTATTACAACCCTTCCCAGTGAGTCTGTGCCACTTTAGCTCTGCACATGTGGCTGGCTTATAGACTTGTACAGACTGGGCAGTAAATAGACTGACAGAAACAGAGGCAGATAGACAGATAGTTTAGCAAATAGATACATGAAACTAATTGGACAAACAAATTAGTAGATGGCCAGATATGTTGAAACAAAGGCCGACTAGTAAGACTACCTAGACAGACAGGTGCACATACAGATGCACAGACAGACGGACAGAGTATAATTAGATTCAAGGTGGAGGAAGATATAGCTGTAGATAAATAAACAGGTAGACAAATAGAAAGCCTGATAGGTAGATAGATGTATAAATTAGACAGATAAACAGGTAGTTAGATAGACAGAAAGATAGACAGATAGTTAGGTAGACAGTTAGTTAAGCACATAGATAGAAAGAAGTTAGATAGATAGATAGAAAGAAGTTAGATAGATAGATAGATAGACAGAACAGATAGTTAATAGAAAGATAGACAGACAGCCAGACTAACAATAGATCAGTAGGTAAATTACCAGAGGGAGGAGGGAAAAGGAAAAACTAATACTTTCTGTGTCTTCTCATTCCCCTCCCAGGCCTCCCCATAAGGGTCTGTGTATGCCCGACTTCATATGTTCCAACATTCGAGCCACTGCGGCTGTGGGTCAGCTTTGTGAAATGGACACATCCTGCACTGATCCAGCCCACTGTGGCCGGTTCCGTTCCACTTTGGATGTCACAGTCTACAATGCCTGGTGTGTACACTAAGTTACTTCCTCATGTACATTGTCCTGTGATAACTATTATTGTTGACATTGTAGTGCACAGACTCACTGATCAACAGTGTGTGTAGACTGTTACTGACATCATAATGTGTGGTGTGTAGACTGTTACTGACATCACAATGTTTGGTAGACTGTTACTGACATCACAATGTATGGTGTGTAGACTGTTACTGACATCACAATGCCTGGTATAGAGACTTACTGATATGTCCAGTGTGTAGACTTTTGCTGATATAATATAGCTTGCTATGTCGACTCGCAGAATTTTGTACAGAATGTCGTCTGTAAATATTTGATCTGCACCGTATGGGGCAACACTAAACTCTGCAGAGTGAAACTTTTCCGATGGCACAGATAATTTAAACAGTAATATAAACCTTTTTGTGTGGACTTTCTGAAGAGTAAAAGAATATTATATATTTTTTAAAGGACAAATTTTCAGAAAAGACAAGTGATGTGATACTCTTTCTCTCTTTCTCAGGGAACTCACCACAAACCCCACCAATGGTCAAAACTACACTACAGTGGAGCAAGTGTTACATATCCTTTCTAATGGCAGCAACCTGAACCAAATTATATCTATGCATGTAAGCGTCCTATTTGTGTCCCTACCGGTCAATATCAGTCATTTGAAGGAAATTTCAAAAACTGAGTTACCATTATTTTCAACAACTATCACTTTTCCCCTACAATTTAAAACAAGAATGAAGTAAATATTACCATATTTGACGAAAATACAGAACTTTTAGTTGTGCGAGGTGAGGAAACACGAAAAGGAGAAAATGGCCTCCGAAGTTGAGCAACATGTTTCCATAGCAATGGGGATCTTAGAATAGAGATAGAGACTTGAAATTTAGCAGTTGTCTTGGCTATGCCACTACAAGGTAATATACAGAAGTAGAAAACTATTCATTTACATAGAAAAAACTTATTGACAGAACACAATTTTCACGAGAATGGACTTCATGTCAAATGCAACAAAATATTAGCATTATACTAGGTACCAAATACTAAATTTTCAAAGTAGCTTTAAGTCAGATTCATCTGTTTCATATGAAAGGCTTATGTCTCTTGAGAATTTTGGTTCCATACTTTTACCTCTCAGTCAATGTTTAAGAGAATGGCAGCTGTTTTAATTTAACATAATATTGCTGAAGTCGCTAACTGGCTGCAACCCCATGCCTGACAGATAATAAAAGAGTACCAAGTGCACCAATCATCTCTTCATTAACAGAGTACAATCATTATAACAAAGAAATGAAGCCTAATTTTTTTCAAGACTGTGAGATCATTACAAATCAGTATTTATTGCCTCAAACACGATGATCTGTCGTTATTTTAATAAAAACACAGAGCGTTGTCATGGCCGGCGCCGCACCAGCCCTCGCGGCGAGCAAGCCGGCTCTATACAGTATTATACTGAGTGCTCCCCGGAGTTTTGCGGAAGGATTCATGCCAAATAATTCCAAGCTGATGACTAATTTATTTTAATAGAAAAAGAACTCTTCTTTCTATTGGTACCTTTTTTAGCCGGTATTTTACATGTTTCGTGTTTAAAATGATCTTTGAAAACTTAAACGCTTTTTTTCAAGTTTTTCTATCCGAACGCCAAAGGCCAAAAATTATAACCACGGGAAACCACGCTCAAAGCTGTATAGCTCTCTGCTAATAAAAAATACAGTATTTAGTCATCAATCTTTCTGCAAAGCATTCAAATGCATGGGTGTCAATTTTGAACTGGCCGACCTCGCATTCCGACAGCGAGGGGCTTCCCTTTCCACGACGATTCTCTAGCTCCAAATAATCGTAATGAAGAAAGTCTGAACTTTTTCAAAGTGTTCAGCATTTGGTGTTTTATAGCAAAAGAGCAAAGAAACAGAGATCTGCATTACCCCCATTTTACCGAAACCACGCGCTCGAAAGTCTGCGAGTCGGCTTACGTGCCGTGTTTACACCACCTAATTTTTCATTTGCAATAGCACCTTAAACATATGTGAGCACAGACACACACACACACAAACACACATACACACACACACACACACACACATACACACACACACACGCGCGCGCACACACACACACACACACACACACACGCATACACACACACACACGCATACACACATACACACACATGCAAACACACCAACACACATACACACACATGCACATAGACCGCCTCGGTGGCCTCTTGGTAAGGAGTCCGCTCTGTCTAAAGGAAGGTTAATTAATCTTTTAACTCATTCGCTACGCCGAGTCGTGGGGGGCGGCGCGGCTAGAGTGCCGTCAGTACGCTTAGCCGCCCCCGGGTCGAACCGACGTTCAATTTTAGCTTGGTTTCTATTCCAATCCACTTATCCATGTTAAAATAAAGGTCATAATATAAAGTTGACTTCCGGGTCAAGCGTTTCCACTGAAAATCGGAAGTTTTGATTCAGTTTTGAAACACGATTTCGAAGTTTATGCGACATTGTTTTATCGCGAAGCCCAAATTATAGCCAGACACCAGTCTTTGAACTTTTACACAACAAAATGTATCATTATTTTGCTCACTAAAAAGTGTAGGACTCTTCTTATAATATTGATACTACTGGACTCAAATTGCCAGTGCACTGTAATTGAGAAATCAATATTTTTGAGTGCTAGATATAGATCTAGGCCTAGATCTAAATAGTCAAAATATTTTTTTTCTCCCGAAAATCACTACTTTTTGGTGAATTTACTCAAAAAGTACCATCCAAGACATGTATAGGTTTATTCCAAATGCAATATAAGATACGAGTGTTTTTTTTCTGTTTGGGATCCTTTTTTCAAAATTAAATTTTTTTTTTTTTTTCAATATCGGAGGTTATGATCCCAATGTACAAATATTATGGAATGTATGTAAATAACTACTCATTTTTCAATATTTTCCTGTTCTATATACAGTTATGGTTATTTTGATGTATAATTTGACTAGGTGCAAACCTATTTTTTGAGTTTCATCTGAGATTATAAAGTTTTTTGTTTTCAAATTTTATCCGCAGCCAATCACAATTGTGTTGCATAATCGCCTCTTACAGAAACCAAAGTTGAAAAATACTCAAATAAACAATACAGATGTATTCTACAAACCATACTGAAAATGTTGGTATATAATATGTTGATATTTATTTGAATTTATGGCCCCCAAGACCTGTGAACTGCGCACTAGTCATCATCTCATTTCGCCCTCCTGAAAAAAATTCGTCCACAAGCCGAAAATAATACGTAGCGAATGAGTTAAAAGCTCTAAAACACAATAAAAACGAATTTTTAAAGTCAATCCAAGTGTAAAACTGAAAGATCAACAGACGATAACAGCTAGCAGGGCACACCCACACAGTCAGCTGTTTTGTAAACAAGCTTGAATTTGGCTAGAAGTTACAGTTTTTTGGTCCATTTTACCAATCAGAGTTGTTTACACCTCGGACCATTCATGCTCGAAAAGGGTCAAAATTTAAAAATAGTTCTGAACGAAGAACGTTGAAGCAAAGATACTCCACAAGTGGAGAATCTTTGGTTGAAGCAAAGGTGGCTATGAGGTAGCAGTTCGAAAAATAATCTCACAGCTGCACACTAGCAAGGTCCAAATTCCTTTATCTCGTCACCCAAGCTCACAACAAACCACACGCACCTCCGAAATAAATCAAAATAAAATATTTATAGTCAATTATTGTTGTTTATTTTATCTTAAATGAAGCAGAAGACACCAAACTTTCAATAGATCCAAAAAACAAAAATTTAATGGAAAGTCACTTTTTCTGTCTTTTGAGCCTCGTAGCTGATAATAGCACACTGAGTCTTACGGCTGATGTTTAGCGGGGAAGACAGATTTGTTATTAACAGGCTTTTGTTTTTCCTCTCTGAAATATACTCAGTTTTCTTTTTCTGAAAGTCAAACTGGTAATTAAAATAGGTTCACTGGCTACATTTTTATGGGTGGCAACTGATTTTTTATTTATATATGGAATAGAGGGACATTCTATTCATTTCCCAGTCAACTGATAGGTTGAGAAAATAGTAGGGATCTGAATTCTTCAAATTCCTGTTGAAATAAAACTCCTTGATTAGAAGGTGTATGATGCATGCAACCAGGGTTTAGAAAATGAGATGCAAAAAGTAGATATTTGGAAAAGGGAAGATATTTCGGATGATATTCGTACCCTTGAGAAAACAGACAAGGAGATGCTTAAGTACTTTGCAACCCGGTTATGGTACGTGATATCTTGTGTTTTCTTTCTCTCTTCAGAATTATGTGATATCCCCTTTGACTCCCGCAACTGTCACACCAATTGGTAATTATGTGTCTTGTTTGGATTTCATACTCTTTGTTTGTGAAGTTTATTAATTAAACGGGAGGAGCGACCCTTGAAGACCATTTTCTTAGTTTGTTGCCTGAGATCAAATCTAAGTACACATATAAGGTAGGCACAGTAAAAATCTCTGATACGCAATTTTATTTTGGCACAGCTACAGCCGTTGCTATGGAAATGGCCGCCATCTTGAAAACAAACAATGAATTTCAGATCCCTAAGGCTTTCTTATTTACTGGTCAAATTTGGTGAGAGTACACCTGAACCAGACTTCTTCTTCTTCTTCTTCTTCTTCTTCTTCTTCTTCTTCTTCTTCTTCTTCTCCTTCTCCTTCTCCTTCTCCTTCTCCTTCTCCTTCTTCTTCTTCTTCTTCTTCTTCTTCTTCTTCTTCTTCCTCTTCTGGCTGGCCTCCGTTAGGAGGGTGACAGTCTGCCGCAGTCAGACAGGTAAGCGGCAACCTCTTGTGGCCTCATCCAGAGTACATCCGGGCCCGGTCTCGCGTTGTTCTCCATAAATGGGCCTCGATGTGCTTCCTCCCGCGGGCACTCATACAGTGCGTGCTGCAGGTCGTAAGGACTTGTGCCACATGCCAGACAGGAATCATTGGGAGCGGAGCTTATTGCATGTAGATACGTCTGCAGGATGGGGCTCTTCACGTTGCATCTTAGCTGCGATAACACTCTTCTCTGTCTGACGGTAAGGTCTCTCTCTTTGTCCCTCTCTGGTGGTGGCTTCACCTTTTCCCCGACGGAGTCATGCACTCGCACTTTCTCCCATGCGTGGGCAATGATGTAAAGCGAGATGCATGAGCTTGCTGACGCGATATCGACTGGAGTGTTGGACTGGTCAAGGCGGCCTCCCTTGTTGGCCAGGGCGTCAGCTCGGTCGTTCCCGTAGATGTCGCAATGTCCTAGTATCCATTGTATGTGAAGGTGTCCGTGGATTTCACAGCAGTGGCAGATAGTGGTCCACATTTTGTCCGCTATCTCAGTACGCACTGCAGTCACTCCGGACATTAAGTGTTTAACAACTGACTGGGAGTCTGTGAAGATGTAGATTCTTTGAAAACGTGGTTGTTATATCGAGCCATTACAGTGCGTGGAGCAGGGCGGTAGTTTCAGCTCGGTAGCTGCTTCTGTCTAGTCCCGTGGGCACGGATACGCATGTTTCCTCCCCAGAAGACTTGTCTAGACACCAGTATCCTCCTCCACATATCCTGTAGCTGTTGGTGGCATGGCCGTCTTTGAAGATATCGAGGTCGGACGTAGGCAATCGGCGCACAATCTCGAGAGCTGCTTCACATCGCATATTAGGTGGATCTGTTTTTGTCGTAGACACTGCAAGTTTTGAGTTGATTGAGAGGTTGCAGGGGGTCTTCCACGGGGGAGTTGTACTCACTGGCCGTAGGGGTTCTCGGATTAGATGTTCTAGTCCGCGTTATTAGAGCTCTGTCAGCCCACTTCCCTCGAACTGTGGATGGACTTTAAGGGTATTTTTGATGTTCCTTCAGCTGAGGCACGGATTGGGTTGTCTTCTGGGACTCTTCTTGCTCTTTCGTATGTCACAGCAGTTGCAATGTTAGACTTAACCTCAAGTGGGATGAGGCCAGCTTCATTTGTGAGCAGCATTGCATTTGAGTCTCTTGTACACCCGGTAATTATTTTGGCTGACGAGTTTTGAATAACATTTAAAGTCTCACGATTTGTTTTGGCTGTTGCTGGATACCAGGCTGCGTGGGCATACTGGATGGCTGATCTGATGTACGCGATGTACACCATACGTAGATCTTCTTTGCTGCATCCCCAGTCTGTGCCGGAGAGCCTGTGGAGGAGATTGACTCGTGGGGCCAGTTTTTCCTTTAATTTATTGATATGTTCTTTAAATGTTAACTTGCAATCAAAGGTCACGCCAAGGAAGGTAGGTGTTTTGTTATAGGGCACCTCCTCGTCTCCAATTGTAAGCTGGGCACGCCAGGACATTTCACAGTTCCATGTCGTGAAAAAAGAGTATTGGCATTTCGCCACATTAATTTCCATCTTCCATCGTTTTGACCAATCGCTGATCTTGTCCAGAGCGGCTTGAACCATCGTGGCGGCAGTGTCAAGATTTTCATGGGATGCCCATATTGCCAGGTCGTCTGCGAAGAGGCTGATGTTGGTGTCTACTGGTTGGTCATCTACGATGTCGTTGATGTATGTGAGGAACAGAAGTGGTGAGAATATTCCGCCCTGAGGGACGCCGGTGAGGAAGCGATAGTAGCGACTTTCTTTTCCCTCAAAATGAACTCTGGACCTTCTGTCGTCTAGATAGCCCTTGATCTGTCGTTGTAGACAGGTGGGCATTCCTAAGGCATTTATCTTGTAGAGGAGTCCAGTATGCCACACCTTTCTGCAGTCATTATTGGGACCTCTATGCGGTGCTGCAGACGCCGGAACAAGTACAGCTCCTGGCCGAACGCCAGTCAACCCCTGGATTCAGACAGGAACGGAGGCGACCGAGTTTTTGTCCGAAGGCTCAGCCAAACCGGCTGATCTGAGTCTCCTGTTAATAATGGCCGGTGACGTCGAAATCAACCCTGGACCTGATGAGATGTACCCATGCACAATACGCAACAGGAACGTGACCAATCGGGGTTACTCGATCCGATGCACCACCTGTGCTAAAAGGATACACAGCAAATGCAGTGGCATATCAATCCCAGTAATTCGACGTCTCTCCCACAACCACGCTTGGGCTTGCTCGGCCTGCTCCGTGCCGTCCCCTATCCGAACCTGAACCAGACTCTATCAGCGTAAGAGTAGGTTTTTTTCAATAAGTGCAAAAGTTTTCCCAAAGTATAAAAAACCTCTTCTAAATTTAGGTTACGTAATCGCTTGCCAATGGAAAAGTGTTATTTTTTTCACAAATATGTCTCTGTTACATTGATGGCAGCCTTGCCACCTATGTTTCCTAAAAGTTTCATGTCGAAAGGATGAAAACTAAGGGAGGAGTAGGGAAAAAGCTGCAAAAAAATTACATTTTGCGAAAAACTACAATTATTGTGAAAATTCACTATATTAACCCACCCTCATGTTTTCAAAGGCAATTTACGAGGAGAATAAAGTCTTCCTCAATTGCTTCCATGCTATTTTTAGACTCAGAAATTGATTGATCTTCAAGAATTAGCCAGCATCTCAATGTGCATAGCCAGACCCAAAATGGGCAAAATCAAGGGTCACTCCTCCCCTTAATGAATAACACAGAGAGTTTATTTTATTGTTCATTAGTGGTACTCAAACTATGGAAGATGTTCAGGTGTTTTTAAAATGTGATGTCTTGGGAGAGAGAGCTTAAAAAATGTTTTTGACCAGCATTGGTGTTTGTATTTGAAACAACTAGTTTGCTATTTTAGTATGCTTTGAATTTATGCATTCAGCTTTGTTTTAGCATCTAATTGAATTATTTTTTAGTCTTTGTAAACCCCCTCCTATGAAGAATTTATTGCAGCTCATACTGTTTTCAATCACATTCTGTTTCAACCAGTTGTATTCCAAACTTTCTCTTAAATAAATAGTTATGGTTGTCCTTTATTTCTCTTGTTTTCATAATTTTAAAAAATCATGTGTAGTGATCCTTAACTTTATGTCTCCACAGACTACTCAGAGAGAGTACTGTTTGGGTCGGTAGTCATCAATGACACGTATGATGACCCTATGGGGGTCCATGGACACGAATTTTCGGAAATGAAGAGTGAAATGGGCATTGTGGTAAGCCTTTTGCTTGTTTTTTTTTATTCCTTGCAGCTTTTTCTAAAGATATTGACCTTTCTTGTCATTGTTTTTGAAACTTGTTACTAATATTGCCTTTACTGCTGCTGTTGTTATTTTTATTACTGTACTGCAGTTAGAATTGTTTTTACTTGAAAGGAAAATGAAAGTTTTAAAACAAACAACAATGAAAAAAACAGTAAAAGGTATACTTTATTTCACTCATCCCCAAGTTCCAGTTTGTAGAAAAATGAGAAAAACAGGGAAGAATGAAATGAGGCAACAGAGTTATAAGAGAAAAAGGAGTAAGAGCAAGGGGGGGGGGGGGATAGTTTGGTAGGGAAAGAGTATAATACAATGATGGTGCGATTGAGAAGGAGAAAGAATTTAGAGGAAGGAGATGCGGAGAGAGCTATTAATTGCAAGATTGTTCTTGTTACGAAACCATTCACATATTTTTTTTAGAAAGACTTTTTTTCTTTGTCTTTGTTATTGGACCATGTAGTGACCTTTTTGTTGTTGGTTCTTTTCTCCTCCCTCCCCCACCCTCACTCCCAGGCTGAAGACAGGTTTCAACTCATTGAAGGTTTTTTGTACCCCGAATTCAACAGTATTGGGTAGGTCATGACAGAGAGCAGCTTGCTATTAATCTTGGTTTGATGCTCTTATGTACGCTGCAATTTTTTAAATGGAGGACTAAGTGCGTGCCTTCCCCTCCTCTTTCTTGAACATGTTATCCTGTTTATTCCCCTCCTCCCACCTGTCCATTTCTTCATCTTCCTCCACCTCACCCTCCCAGGGATAGAACTGTTCTTGAAATTTTTAGATTTGTATTCTTATTATCATTTTATCAAAGTATGAAATGCCTCCAATGGAAAAAGGAAGAGAGGAAGAACAAGTAGTGAAATTCTTGCTGTGGTATAATTCCCACCCTGAAGCAGTCAATATAGATTCAGTTTTATATAAGCGTCTGCTCCATGCTGAGAGGTAATTGCAAACAGTCCTACAAGAGATTTAGGCGACTCCTCTCAGAAAGTCTGGGATTTTCCATAAATAGTCATTGTTCACAGGTTTGTGAAACAGACCAATGCTGTCCCAGATTTCAGAGTTAATCTGACAGGACGGTGTCAATTAAGTGCACATGTTCGCCAATCTGTGAGATCTGAGCTAGTAGCAGGGACTTTAGATTCCCATAGTTTCATCTTACTTTTGTAGATTGTACATGAACTGTTCTATTCAATCTCATAACAAAGAGTGAATAATTGTAAACAAAATTGCTGAGAACTGCAATATTTATTTGAGCTTGAAATGTAGGAACAACAGAGTAATGACTACTTTAAATGCTGTACTGTTGCCATAGATTTAGTTGTGATTCTGTCCTGTGTCAAGTTCCTTTAAATCCATCCCTCCTGGTAGCTTCACATCATTGATAGCCTCATGCAATGGTAATGTTTGACCAGCCCTCTTCTACTTTCTTCCAGGAACTTTTTCTATGGCTTTGAGAAGCTTGTTCAGTTCAACTTCACTATGGTCTTTGGAGTGTCAGTGGATGGTGTGGTTGATCAAGTGGCTGAGCTGATGGTCAAATCTCATCAACTGACTGCTGGAGACTTTGGTCGCTACAACTTCATTGGGCCTATGTCCTTGTACACAACCGAAGAGAATATGAAGAATGGAATTCAGGGTATGCTGTGAGATACATAATGTAGGATGTTGCTGTGAAGTCATAGGTTACGGCCATTCAGTTGCATAACTCCTGTTTTCAGTTTAGTTCATGGGGTTGACCTTTTATTGGTGTTTTGAATGTTTAGCATTTCAAATAATTCTAAAATGTGAGTAATGTTTCTAACTTGGTATAATTGTTTAATCACTTCTTCACACCCCCTCCCCACCCTCTTCTTTTCACCCCACTCCTTCTGCCTTTTCACCCACCACTTCCTCCTCCAATCCAACTTCTTCTCTATATTTTTCCTTCTACCTTGTTCTCATTTTCTTCTTCTTCATCTTCTTTTTCCTTATTCTACCCATTCTTTTTTAAAATTGTTCATCTCTCACACCACATTCTCCTTTTCTTTCTCTTCTCTGTACCTAATTTCATCCTCTTACTTTCCATCCTGATGGTTCTCTTCTCCTCTGTCTCCTCTCCCTATTCATTCTATTTAATTTACCTCCATATCTTCTATTTTAACCACCTTTTCCTCTTTCTTTCATTTGCCAACTCTTCATTATCCTTTTCCTTTCCCTACTCTTTTCAGCTCGTCTCCCTCCTTTTCATCCCCTTCCTTCTATCTTTCCTCTGCCAAGTTCTATCACTTCCTATATTCTCTCACATTTTTAATTCTTTTTCCTACTCTCCCAACTGCTACTGCCCCTACCCTTGTTCCAGCTCCTCTTTCTCCCACCTCCCGTTCTCCTTCTAGACAAAACCAGACAGCAATCTTCTCCTTCAGTGTAGTCTGGCTATTAGACCAACCCTGACAACAGTCTTCTCATCCCTGTCACACACAAAGAAGAAAGATTGAAATGAATTATCAAATGGGTTAAGATGGTAAAGTGAATAAGGACTAAGAATAATGATTTGTCTTGCTGCCACTTCCCAGTACCAGTCTCTTCCTATCTCTTACTCCTCAAACTCACTCACTACTCCTCGCCCCATTTGTTTGGGTATTTTTTTTCTTCTTCCAGCTGTATCCTGGTGTGATGTCTTCCATGGTCTTGGGTTTGATCCCTGTCAAAATGGTGGCACCTGTACTGAAGAAAACGTCTTCTACGCATGCGGAGATGGTGAGTGTCGTTTTCAATTAAAATTGGGGTAAATTGATGACCACTTCTTGGTGACCAACTCTGGAGAGAGACAGAATGAAACATTTGTTTGCTATACAGACCAACAGGGAGGCTGAGAGAAAATTTCAGAAGTAGGCAGGTGTACAAAAATTTGGACTCAAGAGAGAAACAGTGAGGGTTGAGCGTCCTGAATAACACACGTGACCTCAGTTTTCATTCAGTTGAACTGAGGTGTGGGTAACCCAGTCTCCAATATGAAGTTGTTTGACGAGTTTTTGTGGCTGTGACATAACTGCCAACCCTTTCTTTTAGGGTTTTAAAAAATTCATCTCTCTTCTTCTTTTGATTTTGTCTAGAGAGTCCTGTGAAATCCATTCATTCCTGGTGTTGACTTTGGGTCCTAGAATGCTCTGGCAGGTTTCATTTACTGCCTCTTTTATCTTGTCCCAGTGCTCGTTTACTTCACAGTCATCCAGATCTTGAGGGGCTTGAAATCTGTTCTTCAGTTCCAACTTGAATTCATTCTTCTTTATTGGATCTTTCAAAAGGCTCACTTCATACTTTTGGCGACTTCCAGTTGTGATTTGTGCATACCTTCTCAGTTTCAGTTTCACCTTTCCAAGGATCAAATGGTGGTCTGATGCGACGTCTGCTCCTTGTAAGACTCGGACGTCCTATAGTGAGCGTCTAAAATTTCGGGAAATGCAAAAATGATCAATTTGGTTTTCCGTTGTTCCATCCGGGGAGACCCAAGTGGCCTTATGAATTCTTTTATGTGGGAAAATTGTTCCTCCAATAAACAAGTTGTTGAATGCCCAGAAGTTTTGGAATCTTTCTCCATTGTCATTTGCCTCTCCTAATCCATGTCTGCTCATCATTTCCTCACTGTGACGATTGTCCAAACCTTCCTTTGCATTTAGGTCTCCCATGACTATGTTGATGTCCTTACCTGGAAGTTTGACGATCACATTCTGCAGGCGGTTGTAGAAGTCATCTTTATTCTCCACTTCTGCATCATAGGTTGGGGCATACACTTGTATGATGTTCATGTTAATGACCTTCGTCCTGCCATCTCTTTTCTATGAGTTTTTTAAAGTTCCAAATGAGGCCATGATGATTCTTGGACCATGAGCTTCCTAGCCCCTAAATGTCTTTTGCGCTGTTTTGGCTATGATCCTCCCTACTCCTTCCCTGTGTGGTCCATCACTGTCATTTCCTGAAGAAATGAAAAGCTCCCCCTCTTTCATTCGCTTCTTTCCAGACTGTGAGTCTCGCTGATTCCCTGTATGTGTAGGTGGTATCGCTGCATTTCTTGGAGGACCTGTGCAGTTTTTCCAGCCTCATAAAGGGTCCTAACGTTCCATGATCCAATTTGGAGAGACTTGGACTTGGATGATGGTGGAGGCTTCTGCCCAGCAGCTTCCTTTCAGCTTTCACTGCTTCGCATCATAAACTCTCCCTTCGGAGAAAATCCACGACCAGCCAAGCAGAGATAATGGTTTTTGCTTGTATGTGTTTCTATAACAATTTCTTTTTACGAGAGAGGTTGTTAGCCTCGTGACTCAACCCCCGACCTGGAGGGGGGATGACTCTGTTTCGGGAGTCACTACCTGGTTTCGACATTTAATTGCCTCCTACGACACGCTAGCACCACGTCAGTCTTATTCTTCTCAATGCCGAGACTGCACGGCTATCCTCAAGTTTATTACAGAAAAATTCCTGAGTCAGTTTTACAAGTTATATGCTTATAGGGTCCTACTACCAGGCCCAGAAAACATAGCTAGAACTAGAAATGGGTGTGATCATCTTTCGTGTTTTGGTTTCACAAACACACCACACAAAATACTTCAACGACTTCAACTTTCCACCCTCTTACGTAGTTATAGACACTATATTTCGCAGCAAGAAGTTTCTACTTTAGAGATTTGTTTATATCAAAACTTAAAATTATTGATCAAGCATTTACGAACTAAATAAAGTTTGAGTATAGCCTGTGCCGGTGTATTGATAATGGGCAAAAATGGTGCGGTCGCGCTGTCGATATATCGGTAATGGGCAAAGATTGAGTTAATTAGATGCTGGTAATGACGAGGACTACCCTGAGTGGGATATGGAATGTGATTCTGACGATGATATGAATAAAGGTGTGAATCACTCAGGAGCTCAGGCAGAGGGGCACAGTAGCCTCAGGAGGTCAGGGATCAAAGGATTAATCCATGAAAACGTCTCGAGCTGTACCAGATTCTTTTGGCTGCTATTTGGCTGTGTTATGCATTTGCTTTTCTGTAGTGGTCAAAATTAATTCTCTTAATCCTTAATAAGAAAAAGCTTAGTGTAAAGGAAATACATTTCATCATATTTATTTAGAAAAGAAAATAATTTCCACTTCTTATCCTTGGTATTCAATTTATGTTGTACTAGATAGCATTTTCCTGTATTAACTTGGCATGGATCATTATTTAAGGTTAAATATGAGCTAGGCGGTCACAGTGGTATCGGTACCACTTATGTGAATGGAGACCATGCATTTCAGTGACTCTCTTTTGAAGTACCCTGCTGATAGAATATTTTGTTCTACTTACACGTCACATTCTTTTTGCCTTTTCAGCTCCCAACTCTACTGTGACATGTGAGTACAGCCAGTGTTTCTTTGCTGCCTCCCCCACCTCCTCCCCCTCTCCCTCTCTCTCTCTCTTTCTCTTTCTCTCTCTCTCCCTCTCTCTCTCTCTCTCTTTCTCTTTCTCTCTCTCTCCCTCTCTCTCTCTCTCTCTCTCTCTCTCTCTCTCTCTCTCTCTCTCTCTCTCTCTCTTCCTCTCCCTCCTTTCTCTTTCTGTCTCTCTTTTCCTCCCCCTCTTTTTCTCTCATTCTCTCTCTGTCTCTCTCTTTCTCTCTGACTCTCTCTCTCTTTCTGGATGGACAATTTAAGATATAAATTTAAGAAATGATCTTATGTACATGGTTATTGTTACTCATAATATCAAATCAGACATTCATTTAATTTTTTCTGTTTAAAAAAAAAAAAATGATTGTTGTGGTGGTGACTTTAACGGGTATTGTCTATCTTATATCTAAAACATAATCTCACTCCAGTACTGAAACTAACTAGAGAGGCATCCAGGCGAAGCAGGGCCTACCTTTCTTCAACTTTCGCCTCCCACATTGGCTCTTCACTGTGTAACATACACAGAGGATGTCTGAATTGTTGGTTCTTATCTAGCATGGGGTGACCTCTCAATCCAACTACCTGCGAATCAGGGATTTTAGGAACCTAGTTGATTCCAAGTGTTTTTGAGCCAAGCAACACAATTTAGATAGTTAAAAAGGCAGGCTGCTTTGATATTATCTGTTGAGTTTAACCAGGGGCTGAGAGGGATACAGCACCCCTGCAGAAAGACAGATACTCTATAAAATAGGCTTCCCCAGACAGGAATTGTACTTGCGTCTTTTGCTTGAAGCGGGGAAGAGTCTAACCGTTATGTTATAAACTCTTGTGAACTTGTGAAAACCTAAAAAAAAAAAGAATCCAGAGTTATCACTTGACTGTGCATGCATGGACTAAGCATGTATTCAGGTACTGTAGCTTGAGAGTCAAACACCTCTGCTCATCTACATTGATGATAATACAGATTTCTACAATGTTGAACCCAGGACATACCAGTGAAATGTATGACATGTACAACATGTTGTTTACCCTCAGATTTCATCGCTTTTAAGCTGAACACAACGTACACTTCAAATGACGAGAATCTCCTGGAGAATGTGAGAGTGCAGGTGCGCCTTTTTGATCTAGTTCAGAAGACATTTATTGTGCAACTAATTGGGTTTACCTTATTGGGTTGCAGAGGAAAGTAAAGCGTAAAGGGGCACTATTTAACCTCGACCTCTTCATGATACAATCTCCGAGTATGCTTGGTCAAAGTGAAAGTGTTTTTACATTTGTCTCTGTGTAATCTGATGTGTCACCTTTTGGTCTCATAATGGTCACAGATTCAAAAAGCACCAAGTCCAATATGGCTTTTTCAATTATTTGCTGTTCAAAGTGTTCTGAAACTGTATTACTGAACTGAAAAGTGAGGCAGTGTTTTTGCCAATTTTTACTGAAAAGGCCTTAGCAATGGAAAAGCCAATAGTGGTAAAAATAAGTGAATGCACTTCTATCCGGGTTCTGTGTCAATGTATTCATGCAAAATCAAAATAGAAATCAGTTTCTGGACAAAGGAAAAAGGTTTTTGTAGACCCTATTGTCCCCCAAAATATGTTGCCATCGTGTGTTTAGTTGGTTCTGTTTTTCTTGCTTTCTCTCCTTCCCAGGTGGACACAGGTCTCAACTCTGGAGGTTTCTTGTACACCGTGCAGGGAATTGGTGTCATGTAAGCGCATGTTATCCTGCAGCTATGTGACCTTTCTGTGACATATATATCTGACCTCCCTGGTACCTCGTGGGGGTCTTTAATGGCTTTACTGTATTGAAAGCAACATTCTGCTAGTGTGATTCCATTTCTCACCTGTATCTGGTCGGGTGGTAGTTGTTTGGCATGAGTTTGATGTGAATGCCTATTTGTTTCAGGAAGCATTTAAATTACAACCCAAGTTTAAGAACGTCTTGTAAAGAAATTAAACCAGGGCCATCCTCATCCCGCATAATACCCTAAGTCCTAACCTTTTAGTGGTCTTACACCATTGGAAATACCTTCAGTTTGGAGTCTGAGGCTGCATGAGCAGCACATAATTCGTTTTTGTTCGTTAGAAATGTTAGAGTGAGGAAATGGTCCATTTTTTAGAAGGAAATGTGGTGTAGAATATTTAGTTGTATGTAACAGTACTCAGCATCTTTTGCTTGTCACAGGGACTATTATGGCTACGAAACTAGCGTGGTCTTGTCAGTCACTACAGATGTACAATTCTTGGGTCAACTGGAAGAATTCTTGGTCCTATCTACCAAAGTTCAAGAAATGGTCGCTGTAGACAGTTCAGGCAACATGAGTGGTGTCACGTCTGCCAATCTGTTCCTCTCGCAGGTGGATGCAGAGGGTTATTACAACGCACTGGGTATGTATTCAGTTCCGGGACCTTTTCACCAATGTAAAACTACTAGTCTGTTTCCATTTATGTGTTAAACGTTAATTAGATTCAAGTTAGTTTGCATGTTCAATAGTTATACCATATTATTACATGCCTGAAACATGACCTCATATGTAATATGGCGGGGTACACACTGACTCCAAAATAAGCCCATTTTTGTTGATGGCACTTGTAAAACAGGGTTAACCCTCTGAGCCCTGTGTGCCTAGCCATTGGTACAGCAGCGAGCGAGACCCTATCCCCAATCCAGCCGGCCTTGGACAAAACGTACGAGGGAAATAGTGTTTACTACACAGGACGTTACTGATTATTTCGAAGATCTTTCTGAATTAGAAAGCCTACTAGTAATGACAAGGACTATCATGAGTGGGATATGGAATGTGATTCTGACAATCACATGAATGTAAGTAATATATCACTCAGGAGCACAGGCCAAAGGGCATGGTAGCATCAGGAGGTCAGGGCTCAAAGGGTTAATTTCTGACATAATTTAGGGGGCTCAACATGAATGAAATCTAGTGCTAGTTAAACAATAAACGTAGTCTTTTCCTTTAAGCTTTAAGAACTGTTGGCTGTACCTTTGAGACTGATTTAATAGGGGAGAATGGAGTGGTGAAAAATTCTGTCTGGCTTTACTTCCCCTTTTTTGGACTCGATACTGGCTATATATGATGGCATGTATATTAATACAGGGAAGGGGGGGGGGGTATACTTTTGGGGGGGGGGGGGGGTATACTTTTGGACCTAATTCTAAATTTGTGCGTATACTTTCTGGTTGTTTCAGCTTTGGTTTTGGTTGAAGGTAACAGCTAGTCCAACAGCATAAAAGGGGTGACCCCTCTTATGAAAAACAAATACAAGAATATCTAAGCTCTGATATGGACTTGTGATGTCTCCTTCAGTGTGTTGCTTTTACTGCTTTCCTTCCTTTTCTTGATCTAACCCTTGCTACTTGGCCAAGTGCTGTACCTTTGAAATGACCTTTTCCTTCTGTTTAGACGATCATTTAGATCCTACTGAAACTGACAAATCTTTTCTCCTCAGATATGCATGTGTGTCCTAAATTGTCTGAGGAGCTGTGTGGTGCACACATGGAATGCTCCACCATGGGAGGCACCGACTTCTACTGCAACCCCAGTGAGTTCAATACTGCTTTACCTGTTTGCCCAATTTTAGACCACAGACTTATTGCAAAACAGAAATGTGTAGACATGTCTCTTTATGGGACTCAAATGTTGGACTTGCAATTATGAGATCTGCCATAAAGCAAGACAATGAGCCATACTTAAAAACTTGGCTTTATTAAACAACAACAAAAAATGCCTTTCTAGTTCGAGGGGTAGACAGTGACTGATGGTAATACACAGGTAAACAGACACAATACAGCACAGCTGCATGACATATTGAGCAACACAAATGCCATGACAGATGAGACATCAAGTGAACAGAGATGCACCTAAAAAATTTCACCACATTTTCTGATTTTGATTTCTGATTGGCTGGATTTGAGTTTTGAAGTTTTTTTTACGTGTGATATGAATAGATTTGACGCCAGATTCCACACACAATGGGTATTTAAAGCCTGGGAGCTCAAACAGTACAGAACATACATAGTAGGAGAAGTGTAAAATGCTCCTAAGCTCTCCAAGAGAAAGGTATAATATTTTCTATCTAGAAGGTAGGATTAAAAGGAAATTCCCGTATTTGGAATCATTTAGGGTTGCTTGAATGACCGTTTTGGTGTCATCATCATCAAGTGCCAGATCTGTGACAGACATCGGCATTCATGGTTCTCCATTCATTCCTTTGCTCGGATGCTCTCTAAAAAGCTACGTTTCTCTGATCTTTCCGTATTACCCATTTGTTTAGGTTCCCCAAGTATGTTGTTCTGGGCCTTTCCCTGCCTCGTTTGCTCTCAGTTTTGCCAGTGAGAGCTAAATGTTCAAGACCCTTATGTCTATTTATGTGTCCCAAAAACTGCATTTGTCATTTCCTGATTGTTTTTAACATTGAGCGTCCCACATGGGCTTCATCAAGCACTACCTCATTTGATTTCATTTCCTTTCACGATACTCTTAGCATTCTCCTTAGAAACCACATTTCTGTTGCTTCTATTTTATTTTCACTGTCTTTAGTGATTGTCCAGCATTCACAGCCATACAGAAGGGTTGACCAAACATAACATTTCAGAACTTTTATTTCACTGTTCATTGAGATGTTTCTATTTTTCAGGATTGGGCTCATTTGATTGAAACTAGCCTTAGCCATTGTAATTCTCCGTCTTATTTCTGTTTAACATTTGGCATCAGATGTTATCATTTATCCTAGATATTTAAACTGTTGGACTAGTTTGATCTTTTCACCTTTGCTAATGAGATTACAACTTGGCTTTGCTGCTTTTTTGGATATTACCATGCATTCTGTTTTCTTTACATTCAACAATAATCCTTTACGTTCACTTTCTGTTACAACAGTATCTAGAAGCAATTGAAGGTCCTTTTCTGCAATTTTACTCTAGACCTGCTTAGATTGATTGAATCAATCTATTTAATATTTTTCTCTTTCCTTCTGTCTCTTCCCCAGAGAACGTCATATGTAAGTAATTACATTCATCTTTTCTTCTATGCTCAGCAAAACAATATTGAACTAAACAGCATTAAATCTCACTGAAGTCAGGAGTGCTCTACAGGCTATGATGTCTGCTAACATTTTGAATAATTTTGAAATGAGACTGGATAATGTTAAGTTATATCATGAGCTGTTTTCTGACTATATGAGACAGTGTTGAATATAATATTTAGTTTCATTATCAGCAGTTGTCTGCAGAAATTGTGTAATTCGTTTTGATGCAAGGTGCTTCTCTTGGCATGAGCTATCAACAGACTGTTTGGAATAGGATGATTTCATTTTATCTGAAAATTTTGCTTTATCAAAAGCTGTCTAAAGGCTGTGATTATTGAAGTCTGTGTATAGCAACTTTTTTTTAGTACCTTTCTACATACTTTGTGAAACAGGGTTTCATGGAAGTTTTGTTTTGTTATGTTGTCTGCAGACTACAGGTAGCAGAACTGTTATGAACATTTTATTTCATTATGTTTTCTCTTTAGACTACTTAAGACTGGAGTTTGCCATTCCATACTCTGAGAATTCCACAACACAATCTTATGACGTTCAGTCACAGGTGAGTTGGCTCATAAGGGAAAAGACAGGTCTACATTTTCACTAAAAATATTTTTTGTTGCTGACAAAAAACTTAAACCATCCCTTTTTGTAGGATACTGAAAGAATTTCTTCCATTTGTGACCCATGCCAGGTGAACTGGCTTGTTCTGCTAGATGAATTAGCGAGTTTTAACTCTTTGAACCTCATCAGACGCTGGAAGCATCCAGCGGTAATAGCCTCTTCCCCATCAGACGCTGGGAGCGTCCAGTGCTAGTGACAACTGTTTCGTTTTATTTAGTGCTAGTTTTTGCTTGTTTTTCGGAACTATTCTTGAACCAAGTTTTTTAGTAATGACTAAAAGCCTTTGCTCCTGCTATTTAGAAGTTGGAGGCAAGCTTTTGGGGTTATAATGAGACATTGTGCATCAGGTTTAGGTGGCTGTAGAAAAAATATGCGGGAAATGGTGAACAAACTCAGGGCTTAAAGAGTTAATGAGTTAGTCCACCTGGCATAGGTCATGAACACAATATATTCTAAGCTGCTGATAAAAAGTTAGGCTGGGTATGGTTTAATTATTTTTTATTCTGTACTTACTGGCTTTGTTTAATTTGATTACCACATGGCAATCACAGAAGCTATCGAACAAGTCCATCAGCGATCAACTAGGCTAGCCATGAACCTCTTTTTGACAATGTCAGTTGTAATGTCCAAAGAACCTGAAAATTTGTGATTAAGTTGGCTGAAAGTTGGAGGATTATATTTTTTATCTTGCTAGTCTACTATAATCATCTTTATGAAAAGTGCTGTTGTTTTTTAAAAATCTTTATCTTCAAGGTGGGTAGACTAAATGTGACAAATGGGATTATGATGTAAAGCGCATAGAGCTTGCTGACAAGCAGGGATGTGCACTATAAAAATGCTATTTATTATCATTATTACTATTATTACTATTACTATTTTTATTATTTATTATTATTATTATTACATGCGTCACTAAATTGGATATTAAATTAAAACAAATGATTTTTCATCTTATGAAAGAACTCCTGGTAAAAGAGACTTGTTTTCACCTATTGCCGAAACCTAATATGTGTTGAAATCGTAGTAAAGGAAAGTAGCACAGCTGTTCTAATGACAAACCACTGGGAGCAGCTTTCTGGAGAAGTTTACTTGGCACATGAGGTGATTTCAACCTTGCTGGAAGTATTCATGATTGAGGATATATTGGGGACAGATCATCAGTTATAAGAAAAATCTTCAATTCTTTATTGTATAGACGTATAAGCTGACAAATTTGTTTTGTCATTAGATATTTATTTTATTGTATTTGTTTTCAACTCAGATGTATTGCACATCACATTCATGTATGATGACGTAGCTATTGTGTTCATCTAGACACTGGACTTTATACACAGATACAACAACTCCTCTGTCCTCTTGTGTGCTTTGTATGTGTTTGAATGTTGTACTTATACTTTTAGATGAGGCAACAACAGAAAATGGTTGTGTTTGAATTGAACAGTTAAACATTCACCTTGACACAGAGAAGTATAATGGGTGGTTGTGGGTGCTCTGGTGTGTTTTGCTCCTTCTTTTCCTACCAAACATCTATCGTCCTTACCTCTCCTTTTTTTGTGTTTGTTACTCACTTGTAACACCTCTGATCTTGGCACTTATTTGACCTAACTGAGTTACAAGTGCCGTAAAACTCTATCAAAATTAAAGAGAAATATCCAAATATACAAAATGTAGATAGGGCCATTTGGATCAGGTCATTTTGATATGCCCAAGAGTTGTTTACTCTTGATGAACCCCTGAAAGGTAGAGGTGAACTAGACAGATCCTTTTTAAATTTGAAGTACTGAAGAGTGAAATAAGTTGACATTTCAGAAGTGTCCCCTGTTTGTAGAGTTAAAACCATCGTTCATTGTGGATCTGACTTGTTTTGTCCCTTCCACAGATGGAGCAAGCCTTGGTGTATGAGCACTTTATCTCTCTGTACTCCTCAAACTCTTTGTGAGTAGCTGGTTTTTCCACTATAAAAAGCAGATTTTTATTTATGTTTAGTAGACATACAGATTTTTATGTATGTTTATTAGAGTTGGGTCGGGCTCGCAAAATTAGCGTCTACGAGTAACGAACTACTCGCTGACAGAGCCGTCTGCTTGTGAAGAGTAGTTCGTTACTAGGCCAGGGCAAGATCGACGACAAAAAGACTTGAGGCCTCGATCCCAAAACTGAAAAAAGATCGAGGAATCGAGTCCGATTTTCGATTTTGGAAGCTGCTTCAAGTGGGCTGTTTAGAGGCCATGACTTGAACACTGCTAAAAACAGCTCTTAAGATCGAGACCTCGAGTCTTGAACACTGCTAAAAATAGCTCTTAAGATCGAGACCTCGAG